AAAACTTATGCAATAGATGTATTTATTGTACCTATTTTACAGAAAAGGTAAGAAAAGTAGAGCAGATAAGCTAGATAGCCCAAGGTCTCACAGCTTGTAAGAATCATCACAGGCAATCTGACTGCAGAAACTTTTTATTTTTATTTTTATATTTTTTTCTCTCCATTTCCACAGGTATCAATAGAGGCTTACCTGAAACCATCATTTTATACTGACTCCCCAAGGGCATAGAAATGTTGCCAATTAAGAAAAAGAAGAAACCATTTAACTTCAGGAAAAGCAGAAAATTGTGTAAGAAAGGAAAAATAACTACAATTGTCTACATGGTGGTGCTGTAAATGGCATTTTCATAGTCATAATAACATAAATATTGAATAATAATCTAACTAATACGCAGTGATATTTACAACACGAAGGCTGGGCACAGTGGCTCACACCTGTAATTCCAGCACTTTGGAAGGACAAGACGGGCGGATCACTTGGGGTCAGGAGTTCAAGACCAGCCTGGCCAACATGGTGAAACTCTGTCTCTACTAAAAATATAAAAATTGGCCAGGCACGGTGGCTCACGCCTGTAATCCCACACTTTGGGAGGCTGAGGTGGAGGATCACCTGAGGTCAGGAGTTTGAGACCAGCCTAGCCAACATGGTGAAACCCTGTCTCTACCAAAAACACAAAAATTAGTCAGGCGTGGTGGCATGCGCCTGTAATCCCAGTTTACTCTAGAGGCTGAGGCAGGACAATCACTTGAACCTGCAAGGCAGAGGTTGCAGTGAGCCAAGATCATGCCACTGCACTCCAGCCTAGGTAATAAGAGTGAGACTATCTCAAAAAAAAAAAAAAAAAAAAAAAAAAATTAGGCGAGCGTGGTGGCAGGCAACTGAAATCCCAGCTACTTGGGAGTCTGAGGCAGGAGAATCGCTTTAACTCAGGAGGCAAAGGTTGCAGTGAGCCGAAATTAAGCCACTGCACTCCAGGCTGCATTACAGGGTAAGATTCTGCCTCAAAAAAAAAAGAAAGAAAAAAAAAACATTGGGAGACTTGGAGGGGCACAGTGGAAACAGAGAGAGAAAGGAAAGCTAAATTCTCAACTTTTTTTCTTTTAGAGACAGAGTCTAGGCTGGAGTGCAGTGGCGTGATCTCAGCTCACTGCAGCCTAAAATTTCTGGGCTCAAGTGTTCCTCCCACCTCAGCATCCTGAGTAGCTGAGACTACAGGTGTGAGCTACCATGCCTGGCTAAATTTTTGATTTTTTGTAAAGACCAGGTTCCCTGGAGGGCGCGGTGACTCACGCCTGTAATCCTAGCACTTTGGGAGGCCGAGGCGGGCGGATCACGAGGTCAAGAGATCGAGACCATCCTGGCTAACATAGTGAAACCCCGTCTCTACTAAAATACAAAAAATTAGCTGGGCGTGGTGGCGCGCGTCTGTAGTCCCAGCTACTCAGGAGGCTGAGGCAGGAGAATTGCTTGAACCCGGTAGGCGGAGGTTGCAGTGAGAGGAGATCGTGCCACTGCACTCCAGCCTGGCGCCTGGCGACAGAACGAGACTCTGTCTGAAAATAAAATAAAAAGACCAGGTTCCCCTATGTTGCTCAGGCTGGTCTTGAACTCCTAAATTCAAACGTGTCAACTAAAGTATTGAAAGTGCTGCCCTCTGTGGAACCAAAAATGGAGTAGACAGTCTAGAGAGTTCTGTTTACTTTAGCATGTCTTTTGGAATTGGTTGATTCTTTAAACAATGTATATTGTTTAACTTTGTGCATGCATTTAAACTATATGGCTACATGATTAAAATAAAAATAATAAAATTTAAAAAAGTGAAGTTACAAATTTTAAGGGAAAAATCAATCTACGTTTTCTTCCAGTCTTTGTCCTTGTCCTCATGGATACATGTGCTGGCTGGGTTCTTTGGAAAGCAGGAAATAAAAGAGAATTAGGAATGCAAACGACAATTGGGGAAGAAAACTTGTGAAAGGAAAGGCCAGAGGTCAAGCACAGTGGCTCACGCCTGTAATCCTGACACTTTGGGAGGCTAAGGCAGACTGATCACTTGAAGCCAGGAGTTCGAGACCAGACTGGGCAACATGGTAAAACCTCGTCTCTACTAAAAATACAAAAAAAAAACTAGCCAGGTGTGGTGGCAGGAACCTGTAATTACAGCTACTCGAGAGGCTGAGGCAAGAGAATTGCTTGAACCCAGGAGGCAGAGGCTGCAGTGAGCCAAGATCAGGCCACTACGCTCCAGCCTGGGGAACAGAGCGAGACTCCGTCTCGAAAAGAAAAGAAAAGAGAAAAAAGAAAAGAAAAGAAGACCCCGCGACCCCGCGACCCCGCGCCCAGCTCCAGCCGCAGCGTCCCGACTGGGCCTTCCCTCGGGAATACCGGGCACCTGCGGCCTCGCCCCTACCTGCGCGTTGCATCTCTGAGAACAACAGTCTCCCTCCCGAGCGTCACAGCCAGACACGGCCCAGACCAGGGACCCGCGCGGCCTCCAGTCTCCGCGCAGCTTTGCGCGCGGGGCTTAGCCTGGGATCAGACAGCTAGGCCGCAAATGCAGTCAGGCGACGCTGAGGGCAGTCCGGGGGCGGGGCGAACGGGGCGGAAGCCGGGGTCCGGTAAGGCCCCGCCGTCTGGGTTATCCAGCGGCGCACCAGACTGCTCGGGAGGCGTGGCCAATGTGGTTGGAGGCGGGGCTAGGACGGCGGCACGTTAGACCCAAAGGCACGGGAGCGTCTCGAGGCGTGGCCAACCATGCGGAGGCGGGGCCATGATGCTGGACGTCAGGCTGTGCTGCGGACAGCCTATGAAAAAGCCTTGAAGATGGCGGCCTCCTGGAAGCTAGGCTGTGACTTGCGGCTGTTGCGTTACCTCGTGGGCTTCCCTGGCCGCCGAAGCGTACCAGGGCTGATGAAGGGGGCTGATGGATGGTCTGTAAACCGCGGATCCATTTGGAGATGGTTTCACAGCACGCAGTGTCTTCGGGGTGATCCCATTAAGATACTAATGCTGGCCGGGCGCGGTGGCTCACGCCTATAATCCCAGCACTTTGGGAGGCCGAGGCGGGTGGATCACGAGATCAAGAGATCGAGACCATCCTGGTCAACAAGGTGAAACCTCGTCTCTACTAAAAATACAAAAATTAGCTGGGCATGTTGGTGCGTGCCTGTAATCCCTGCTACTCGGGAGGCTGAGGCAGGAGAATTGCTTGAACCCAGGAGGCGGAGGTTGCAGTGAGTCGAGATCGTGCCATTGCACTCCAGTCTGGGCAACAACAGCGAAACTCCGTCTCAAAAAAAAAAAAAAAGATACTAATGCTGTCACTGTCTCCCACAGTGGAAGAAGGAAACATTGTGAAATGGCTGAAAAAGGAAGGTGAAGCGGTGAGTCCTTGTGAAATTGAGACTGACAAAGCTGTGTTTACCTTAGATGCAAGTGGTGATGGAATCTTGGCCAAAATTGTGATTGAAGAAGGAGCTAAAAATATACGGCTAGGTTCACTAATTGGTTTGATAGCAGAAGAAGGAGAAGATTGGAAACACGTTGAAATTCCCAAAGATGTAGCTCCTCCACCACCAGCTTCAAAACCTTCAGAGCCTCATCCCTCACCAGAACCACAGATTGCCGTGCCTGTCAAGAAGGAACACACACCCAGGACACTACAGTTCCGTTTAAGTCCAGCTGCCTGCAATAATCTGGAAAAAACACTCACTGGATGCTAGCCAGGCCACAGCCACTGGTCCTCGGGGGATATTCACTAAAGAGGATGCTCTCAGACTTGCCCAGTTGAAACAGATGGGCAAGATTACCGAGTCCAGACCACCCCAGCCCCTGCAGCCACTCCCACAGCACCTTCACCCCTACAGGCCATAGCTGGGCCATCTTATCCCCGGCCTATGATCCCACCATTATCAACTCCTGGACAACCCAATGCAGCAGACACATTCACTGAAATGCCCGCCAGCAATATTCCAAGATTTATTGCCAAGAGATTAACTGAATCTAAAAGTACTGTACCTCATGCATATGCTACTGCTGATTGTGACCTTGGAGCTGTTTTAAAAGTTAGGCAAGATCTGGTCAAAGGTGACATTAAAGTATCAGTAAATGATTTTATCATCAAGGCAGCAGCTGTTACCCTTAAACAAATGCCAGATGTTAAAGTAAGCTGGGATGGAGAGGGCCCAAAGCAACTACCATGTGTTGACATTTCAGTGGCTGTGGCAACAGATAAAGGCTTAATTACACCAATCATTAAAGATGGGGCTCCTAAGGGTATCCAGGAATTTGCTGACTCTGTAAAGCCTCTATCAAAGGAAGCAAGAGATGGAAGGAAAATTGTTGCCTGAAGAACACCAAGGAAGGTCTTTTTGTATTTCCACCTTGGGGATGTTTGGCATCAATGAATTTACTGCAGTGATTAACCCTCCTCAGACCTGCATTTTGGCTGTTGGGAGGTTCCGACCTGTGCTGAAGCTCACTGAGGGTGAAGAGGGAAATGCCAAACTGCAGCAGCACCAGCTCATCACAGTCACAATGTCAAGTCGAGTGGTTGATGACGAACTGGCAACCAGATTTCTTAAAAGTTTTAAAGCAAACCTAGAGAATCCTATCCGACTTGCCTAATCCTCAAAGATTTGAGTTGGTGTTCGGCTTAGTTGATTCAGCAGTTTTTACCAATAAACATACCTTATAGAAAAACAACTAGGTATTTTAGTATGAAGTGGATGAAATGTTTATTTAAGGTGAAAGCATTTGAGCCAGGGTGTCTTCATTTTCAATTTGGGTTTAATGTTATAAAATAAATGATGATAAACTGTAACTAATAAAGGAAATAGAATATTTGGTTACTCAAATCCATTTTTAACCTCTGGTGCTGTATAAAGGGAATATTAAACTAAATGTAAATCAAAGTATATGTTTGGCTCATTTGAGCATTTTAGAATATTTGAGAATGTGTGATACATGTAAAATTTAAAAACTGTTACAACTCTATCATAATTGTGTTGAAGTTAGAAGTGATCCTCAAAGAGATACCCATTAACTTAGCAGTGGGACCTCACTTTTACAAGCACTGCTGTAGATACACTTGAAGAATTTAATATGCACAGAAGTTTATTCTGGATAATAAATAAGGATCACATTGTATTAGGGGTTATGGCAACATTATTGGATTTTTATGCACATAAAGCCATACGTTTAGGGTGGTTTCTGTCTTGTTTTTCACTTGTATAACACTATGAACTTCTAAAGTGAAAGAATAAAAGAATGAATGAAAAGAAAGACTTTTCAAAAATGTTTCAATGAAAAACTATAGTTAATACATACAAACCTTTCTAGGTAAAGTGCTCGCCTTCATCTTGAGTTGGAATATATTTAAATAAATTGTGTTAACTCTTGCCTTAAAAAAGAAAAGAAAAGAAAAGGCTAGCACATAACAGCAGGGGGAGCTGTCAGACTGCCACGCAGAATTGACAAAATCCCCAGCACAGTGGGGAGCTCCGGAGCAAAGATTAAAGGAATTTCACACTGGAAGGGATTGGGCAAGCCATTGTTCCACCACCTAGCTCAGACACTGGGAAAAGAGAGGGACCTCGGTTTGAATATCTAGCTGGAGGTTATCAACTCACCACTTCTGGAAGCTGGGCAGCCAGTCCTTGTTTTAAAAAAAAATCAATACATAATAATTTTACACATTTATACGGTACATGTGATATTTTGATATATGTATGGACTATGGAATGATCAAATTAGGGTAATTAAGGTATCCATCAGCTTAAACATGTATCAATCCTTTGTGTTGGAAACATTCTAAAGCTAGCTATTTCAAAATATACAATAGATTATTAACTATTGGCACCCTTCTGTGCTATCAAATAGAACTTATTCCTTCCAACTGTATAACCATTTTTATAACCATTGACCTACCTCTCCTCATCCCCACACCCGACATTTCTCAAAAGAAGACATACAAATGGCCAACAGGTATATTAAAAATGCTCAACATCACTAATTAGGAAAATGTAAATCAAAACCACAATTAAATTTCATCACCCCAGTTAAAATGGCTATCATCAAAAAGGCAAAAAATTACATGTGCCGGTGAGGATGTGGGGAAAGGGGAATACTGGTACACTGTTGGTGGAAATAAAAAACAGTGAATCTTTTCTTGAAGAGAGATTTGAAGTGTGTCTCTTAGTGTTGGTCACAATATATTTTTTTTCTGTTAAATTTACACCCACGGTGCACATGTATTCACATACTGCTTGCTGTTTACTTTCCATTTACCCATTTCAACTTTTTTTTTTTTGCAATTTTATAACTTTATTTGATGTATTTGACAATCAGCAATTAATTCTCATCCGCGTTGATGGTCTGTAGAGTTTTTGAAAGTGATAACAGGTACATTTTGAAAGTGTACAGGTAACCAAAGTACAGAGCTTATTTGGTGAACCTTCACCCTCATGTTTTCTGGACAACCGCACACGGATTCGATATGAGACGCTCATTCCTTTGGCCCAGACAGCTTTGCGGAGCCAGGTATTAATGCGCGCATCTGGAGTTCCCATCTCCATGGCAAATTTCTGAATCTCTTTGAGGGCCTGAGGGACACGCCTCTTGAAGCCTACTCAATGGATGCACTTGTGAATGTTGATGGTGTATTCTCGGGTCACCACCCCATTAATGGCAGAATGGCCCTTTTTCTTCACTGTACCCTTCTTTGCTGGAGCCATTCTGCCAGGTCCACGTTGGAAAGGAAGCCACATTTTATAATCACATTATTTTAAATTAATAAAGTTACTATTACATTAAAATTATTTTAGGCCGGGCACGGTGGCTCAAGCCTGTAATCCCAGCACTTTGGGAGGCCGAGGCGGGTGGATCACGAGGTCAAGAGATCGAGACCATCCTGGTCAACATGGTGAAACCCCGTCTCTACTA